CATTTGACCCGGTTGCCAAAGGACCCATCATGCCAACTAAAGTGTACCGGTCTCTCTAGGGCTCTGTCTAGGTCTCCAGTGGCCCAGCCATTTCGTGTGGTCCGTAATCTGCTCACATTTGGCAGGACACCAGAGGGCCGCTACTCCGACCCAGATTTTGCCCGCCAGCGGGCGTGTCCTTCTGGGTCTCCTGAGTTTGCGGGAGATCTGGCTGGGCGTTCTGGGGTCTCTGAGTGTGAGGCAGAGCAGGGCTGGGGCGCCTGGAGCTCTGAGTGTGAGGGAGAGAGGGGCTGAGGGCCTGGAGCCCCTGGGTCTGAGGGAGGAGGGGCTGGGGGGCCTGGAGCCCCTGGGTCTGAGGGAGGAGGGGCTGAGGGCCTGGACCCCTGGGTCTGAGGGAGGAGGGGCTGGGGGCCTGGACCCCTGGGTCTGAGGGAGGAGGGGCTGGGGGCCTGGACCCCTGGGTCTGAGGGAGGAGGGGCTGAGGGCCTGGACCCCTGGGTCTGAGAGAGGAGAGGCTGGGGGCCTGGACCCCTGGGTCTGAGGGAGGAGAGGCTGGGGGCCTGGACCCCTGGGTCCGAGGGAGGAGAGGCTGGGGGCCTGGACCCCTGGGTTTCCAGATGGGGACAGCTGTGAGCCCAGATCCAGTTGAGTCCACACCCTACGCCCCCATGGGCCTACGCTCGTGCACACACGCATGCCTGTCCTCCCTCGGCTGGCAGGTCCTGAAGGTGGCCATCCTGGCTGAGAAGTACGCGGTGGACTACAGCTGGTACGTGGACACCATCCTCAACCTCATCCGCATCGCAGGCGACTATGTGAGTGAGGAGGTGTGGTACCGCGTGCTGCAGATCGTCACCAACCGTGATGACGTCCAGGGCTATGCTGCCAAGACTGTGTTTGAGGTCAGCACCCCCATCCAGGGGCATCGAGGCAGAGAGAGGACAGAGCTGCTCCCTGGTCTCCCTGCTTCTCCAAGGGACACAGGGGCCCGGCCTTCACTGGCCAACGTGCGGTCAGCCCGCGTGCAGTGGCCGATCCCCAGGCCGCAGCAGTTGCCCACTCCCTCTGCACCAGAAAAGGGGTCCCCTTCTGCCCTGTGTCACTGCCTGTGAGCTGGAGCCAGTCACTTCACCCCTCCGGCCTCAGTTTCCATCTATAATCCCACACACGTCGGAGGGTCCCGAGGTCAGCCCCCCCGCCCAGCTGAGTGACCGGAGCCAGGGCGTCAGCACTCATGCCTGTCCCGGCCCCCAGGCGCTCCAGGCCCCAGCCTGTCACGAGAACATGGTCAAGGTCGGCGGCTACATCCTTGGGGAGTTTGGAAACCTAATTGCCGGGGACCCCCGCTCCAGGTGAGGGGATGGACATACGCACTTCTGAAGGGTCCGGGGTGGGGGGACCCCATGAGTCTCAGGGCCAGTGATGATGGGAATCTTCTCGGCCCCTCGCCCCGAACCTTGCGGGTGAGGGACAACCCAGCTCTCAGGAGCGTCTAGGGGAGCGTTGCCGCAGCCACTGCCCCGGGGCCGCCTGGGACGGGTCCCTGCCAGGGAGGCGGCACCTCACGGGGGTTTGTGGGAGACGGTGGAGCTGGCACGCTGACCCCTGCCCCCCGCGCAGCCCCCCAGTGCAGTTCTCACTGCTGCACTCCAAGTTCCACCTGTGCAGCGTGGCGACGCGGGCCCTGCTGCTGTCCACCTACATCAAGTTCATCAACCTCTTCCCGGAGACCAAGGCCACCATCCAGGGCGTGCTGCGGGCCGGCTCCCAGCTGCGCAACGCGGACGTGGAGCTGCAGCAGCGCGCGGTCGAGTACCTCACCCTCAGCTCGGTGGCCAGCACGGACGTCCTGGTCAGGGCCCGGTCCCCACCTGCCCCCCCCCCCCCACCTCTGTGCCTCGCCCTCCCTCTCCTCCTGACCTGCTCCCGCCCCCACACCGCAGGCCACGGTGCTGGAGGAGATGCCGCCCTTCCCCGAGCGCGAGTCGTCCATCCTGGCCAAGCTCAAGCGCAAGAAGGGGCCGGGAGCCGCCAGCGCCCTGGACGACGGCCGGAGGGACGCAAGCAGCAATGACATCAACGGGGGTGTGGAGCCCACCCCCAGCACGGTGGTGAGTCCCCCAGGACCGGGCCACGGGGAGGGCCCACCTGGGGAATCGTCTCTTCTCACCTCCGACTGTACTTCCTGCAGTCGACACCCTCACCCTCCGCCGACCTCCTGGGGCTGCGGGCAGCCCCTCCCCCAGCGGCACCCCAGGCTCCCGCGGGTGCAGGCAACCTCCTGGTGGACGTCTCTTCCGATGGCCCAGTCGCCCAGCCCGGCCTGGGGCCCACCCCCGAGGAGGCCTTCCTCAGGTACCCTCTGCCTCGGGCTCTGGGCTCCCCGTCTTCTGTCTACTCCCCCCCAACTCGTTCCTCCCTCCCTGTCCCTGTGCCTCTGTCCACCTGGCTGCCGCCTCTCCGGCCTACTTCCTCCCTCTGGCCACGCTGGGCTCTCGGCTGCCCCTGGCCACCCTTTGTTGTCCTTTCCCGTCACCGTGTCTCAGCCTGCTCTTCCTTCTCTCCTTCCCTCCTCCTTCTTTCTCTTTGGCCCTTTTGCTGCCTGTCTGGGATTGGCTGCCTGCCACGCCTGTCTTCTCTGTCTGCTCTGGGATTGGATGGCCCAGCGAGCTGGAGCCGCCTGCTCCTGAGAGCCCCATGGCTTTGCTGGCTGACCCAGCTCCAGCTGCTGAGTAAGGGGTGGCCTCAGGGGGTTGGTGGGCAGACTGTGTCCCTAGGGAGGGTTAGGGGACTGGGAGCGCTCATCAAGGCTTCCTGTTGAACTAACTGTCGTCAAGGTCTTGGAAGGGAGTGAAAATAGGGTCTCTGATGGGGGGGGGCAGCACACGCTAGAGTCCTGTTCCCACGAGAGGCAATCACCAGGCTGATTCTGGGGTTCTTTGTGGTTCTCTGGGGAATCGGGGTGTATGGATTGCGGGGTTCTGCCCTCTCAGGGCCTGTTGTCTCCTTCCATGAGGTAGTTCCAGGCCTTTACCTCCCCCCAGCCCCTCCCATCTCACTCCTCTCCCCGCAGCCCAGGTCCTGAGGACTTCGGGTCGCCCATCCCAGAGGCTGATGAACTGCTGAATAAGTGAGTCTGGGGGAGATCAGGAGGGAAGTGAGGAAGGCGGGGACCACAAAGCAGAGCCCAGACAAGCACCCTCTCATCCTGGGCTCCCCCTCCCTGCTCCCCCAGGTTCGTGTGTAAGAACAATGGGGTCCTGTTTGAGAACCAGCTGCTGCAGATTGGAGTCAAGTCAGAGTTCCGGCAGAACTTGGGTATGTGGGGGGGGGGGGGGCTGTGAGGATGGGGATTCGGGGAGACCTGGCTCGGGTGTGGAGTCGGGGCTGACGGAGTCCGCCTCTCCCCGTCGCCGCAGGCCGCATGTATCTCTTCTACGGCAACAAGACCTCAGTACAGTTCCAGAGCTTCACGCCCACTGTCGTCCACCCTGGGGACCTCCAGACTCATATCCTCTCGGCCTGGCCCAGCCCCCTGGCTCCAGGTCTGCCCTCCGGGTCTGCCTTCCTGGGACGAGATGGACCCGGGTCGAGACCCGTCTTCAGCCCTCTTGCCTGAGAGCCTGAGCGCTTGTTCTGAGATTCAGTGTCACCTGTCGGAGGGGTGTCCTTTTCCCCCAGACAGGAGGGGACAGTGAAGTGATGAAAATAGGTGTGCGGAAGGAGGTACTTCTGCAGCCCCTGCTGTCCCAGGCCCCTTTGTCCCTGTCTGGCCCCTTCCAGACCTTGTCCTGACTTTGTCCGCTGTCCGCTCCGCACCCAGGATTCTAGTGCCTCCTGAGCTCGAGGGCCGGCCCGGGTCCCGGTGAGACCTGAGCCCTCCTGTGAGACCAGGGCCTGTCGCTGCCTCTGTGTGGACCCTCCGCTTCCTCCTCATGGGCTGGTTTGCGCAGCAGCAAACTCTGGTGGAAAACTCTGGAAGGGGGAAAGGCAGTGCCTGAGCAGCCAGTCCCTCCTCCCCTCTGCGGTCCATCCCCAGCCTGTGAAACTGGGGGTTAGACCCCCAAACTCTGAGGATCTTTTTATGTTTAGTTCTTTGCTCCACCCATCACCGTTTCCAGGGCCTGTTGAACACTCAGCTCCGTGCTGGGCATGGGTGGGGGGGGTGAGGGATGCAGAAGGCCCAGCCCTGGGTCGCTGGCGTGAAGGGAGGTGGTGGGAGCACTGACTGCCCGTCCCGGGTGCCGGCCACACTGACAGTGTCTGTGCTGGATCATATCATTGAGCACCGAGGACACAGCGTCCAATCGCAGATGAGGCCGAGGGAGGCCAAGTAAGGGCACATGGTCACTGAGGTGGGAGCTGGGATTCCAACCAGGAGGGGGAGGCCAGGGAGGCCGCGGAGCCCGATGTGAAAGGCGATGCAGCCGGGGAGGAGTCATGGGAGGGGTCCGGGCGGCGGGGCCCGGGGCCACCTGCAGTCTCTGGCTTCCTTGACCGCGGGCACAGCTGGCCGTGCAGACCAAGCGCGTGGCCGCGCAGGTGGACGGCGGGGCGCAGGTGCAGCAGGTGCTCAACATCGAGTGTCTGAGGGACTTCCTGGCGCCCCCGCTCCTGTCTGTGCGCTTCCGGTGAGTCCGGGCCGGGGTGCCAGGTGGGCGGGGCCTCCTGGGCGAGGGGCGGGGTCTGACGGCGCCCTCTCTCCCACGCCAGGTATGGGGGCGCCCCTCAGTCCCTCACCCTGAAGCTCCCCGTGACCATCAACAAGTTCTTCCAGCCAACAGAGATGGCGGCCCAGGACTTCTTCCAGCGCTGGAAGCAGCTGAGCCTGTGAGTACGGGCCCAGCCCCGGTACCGGGCAGGCGGGCGGGCTGCCAGGCCCTGACTGGAACCTTTCCGGCCCAGCCCCCAACAGGAGGCGCAGAAGATCTTCAAAGCCACCCACCCCATGGACGCTGAGGTCACGAAGGCCAAGGTGAGGGACGGGGAGACTCAGGGAGCCCCCAGGCCGACCTCCCAGCCTGCCTCTCCCTCCCTCTGGGGTTTGGGGACCGGTGGCTGGTCACTTCCGAGCCTCAGTTTCCCCGTCTGTAACATGCGGCCAGCGCCCACTCCGGCTGGTTTGGGGAACTGGTGCGCCCCCCTGGGAGCTGACAGATCTGGCGTCTCTGACGGCTGCCGCCCTCCCTCCCCAGCTCCTGGGGTTCGGCTCTGCTCTCCTGGACAACGTGGACCCCAACCCCGAGAACTTCGTGGGGGCCGGGATCATCCAGACGAAAGCCCTGCAGGTGGGCTGTCTGCTCCGGCTGGAGCCCAACGCCCAGGCTCAGGTGAGTGGTCTGGGAGGCCCACCTGCAACAGACCCCCCCCCCCCCCAATCCTCTGGCTCATCTTCCTCTCCCCTTCCCTCCCTCCCTGGTTTGTGTCTCTATATCCTTTCCACCTTTCCTGGCCTTTTTATTTCTCATTCTTTGCCTGTTCCCATCATTTTTATTCCCACTTCCTGTCCCTTCTATCACCTTCCTGACCCCTTTCTCCTTTTTCTCTCTCCCCTGTATCCCCCCCACCCCTGGGCTCCCCGTCCTCTCACCTGCCTGCCCTATCCCTCTGCCTCCTCCCTGAGTCCCCCCCTTGCTCCCCCCAGATGTACCGGCTGACCCTGCGCACCAGCAAGGAGCCTGTCTCCCGTCACCTGTGTGAGCTGCTGGCCCAGCAGTTCTGAGCCCCGGACCCTGCCCCCGGAAGTGTGGCCGGCGCCAGGAAGCCCCCAGGACTGAGGGAGCTTTGGTGGATCGGAGCAGTGAGGGGACCTCCGCTGGTGACAGGGAAGACCCCAGGGTAGGGGGGTGCCTGGGACTTTCCTCCGGCCTTTTGTATTTTTATTTTTGTTCATCTGCTGCTGTTTACATTCTGGGGGGTTGGGGGAGCCCCCTCCCTCCCTTCCCCCCCCAAGCACAGAGGGGAGAGGGGCCAGGGAAGCAGGCGCCTCCTCCCCTCCCACCCACCCTGTTGTGGCCCCTCCTGCCCCCTCCCCGTCCAGGGGCTGTGTATTATTGTGACCCAATAAACAGAGAGACGCTAACAGCCCGGGTGCCTGTCTGTCGCTCGGGCCCAGTGGTCAGAAGAGTGGGGTGAGGGCCTGCAGGGTGCGGGTGGCCAGGCTCCGCAGCCCATGGCAGGGACTCTGAGCTGACAGCAGCAGCAGCAGCCGCCGTGGCCCCAACTGTAGGGCCACCAGACGCCATCCTGTGCCTGGCTCCTCGGTCCCTGAGACCAGGTAGCAGGCTCTCGGCACTTGGGCCCGCTGGGCTGTGTCCTCCACCTTCTCCTCCTGCTGTCCGGGCTCTGGGGAAAGGACAGGAGGGGCTGAGTGAGCAGTGGGGTGTGGACCACGGGGATGCCAACCTGCGGGAGCCATACCCCATCCTGGGCCTGAGTCTGACTCTGACAGGCAAGGGCCTCACAGCTCCATCCGGTTGTCAGTGACCTGTAGCTACAGGCTCTCAGCTGCCCCTCTTCCCACCCAGCTCGGTCCCCCTCGTTCCTGGGGATACTATGTGCAGCCCCAACAATTCCCTCAGAAACACATGGCAAACACACAGGTGATATTTACCAAGTGTCAGGCACTCAGCTCCAGGTACGTGGAGGTGGGGGGGGGGGCGACCCCCAGGGACCCCACCCCACTGTGGGGAGCTGGTGGGGAGGTGGAGTCAACAGCTAGGAGGGAAGCAGTCCTCGGCCTCTCCCAGGTGCTGCTGTTTACCATTTTGCTACATTCGTCAGGCTCTTTACTGGTGGGTAGCGTCACCCTAGGCCCCTTCCTTTGTCTCTCTAGGGCTCTTGGGTTCTAGGACTTTTCCTAACTAGCCTGGGCTCTGTGGTACCCCCTCCCCCGACTATGGGGAAAGCCTGTGCTTAAAGCAGTAGAGCGGAGTGTGACTACTGAGCAGCCGGCCTCAGTTTCCTCATCTGTAATATGGGAGTGATTATACAGCAGCAGGTGACCCTCACCTCGGAGGATGCCGGGAGTCACTGCATAGAAAGCATCTGGCAACAGGTTAACTATTAACATCACCCAGGAGAGCGTCAGCTCCAGGCTGGGGCCTCCCTGCCCCCCCTGCCCCTCCTTTCCACCCGTGGATGCCCTGGCGTTAACCATGCCCAGTACCGGCTGAGCCCTACCAGTTCCCCCAGCCCCCCGACTCCCTCCTGTGTGACCTGGGACTCAGTGTTCCCATCTGTGCAAAGGGGGCGCTGGGCCCACCGCTGACCTGGTGGGAAGTGCATGGCGGTGACGAGGGTGTAGAAGGAACGGAGGAGGCACCGACGCTGCTCAGGGGAAGGATCTGAAAGGAGAATAACGGAGTGAAGTCCCTTTCAGGGCCCAGGGCCCTACCGGCCGCCGCCCCCTCCCCCCCTCAGTCACCTTTATCCCCTGAAGGCTCCACGGTGAAGAGGCAGCGCTTCAGTTCCAAATGGAGGAGCAGCAGCCTGTGGGGAAGGGCGTGTCATGACCAGGGAGGAAGGAATGAGGACCCCAACCCACCCTCCCCTCCCTCCGAGCCCTACCCGAGGATGTCCGGGTGCAGGGGGAAGCCAGCGGGCAGAGCTCGGGGTCCCAGCGGCAGGCAGGCCCGCAGCGAGTCCAGCGACGGCTGCCACCAGCGGTCCAGAAGCTGCGGGGGCCGCGGGAGGTCAGGGAAGTGTCAGGGCGCGCGGC